TTATTTATCAATAATATTAATTATAGAATTTTCACAATGAATTGTATTCCAAACGCGTTTCGTTGCACAGTAGCTTCACCGGTTACTGGTACCTGTACCTGTTACTGTAACCAGTTAGACTGGTGCCAGTTACTGGTACCAGTACTGGTCACACTAGTAACTGGTACTAGTAACTGATGAAGCTAAACTGAAAATGAAAGATGTAAAATAGGCAGGGTAACCAGTATCGATTACATTGGTACCAGTTATTTGTGCCTGTATCTGTTACTGTAACCAGTTACACTGGTAGCAGTTACTGATACCAGTACTGGTTACACTGGTCACTGGTACCATTAACTAAGTGAACTACCGTGCAGCTAAGCGCGTTAGGGATTATATCATTTCCAAACTGAAAATGAGATATGTAAAACAGGCAGTGTAACCAGTACCGATTAGACTGGTACCAGTTACTTGTGCCTGTAACTGTTACTGTAACCAGTTACACTGGTATCAGATACTGATACCAGAACTGGTTACACCGGTAACTGGTACCAGTTACTGGTACCAGTAACTAATGAAGCTACGGTGCAGCTAAGCGCGTTAGGGATTATATCATTTCCAAACTGAAAATGATAAATGTGAAACAAACAGGAATGGAACGCAAGAGCTAAATATTACTATTCCATCAATATTCCATCAATGTACAGGATGGATACTACAGCCAAAAACTGTAGCCCAGAAAAAACACGGAATAACCATTAATTTTGTTATTGGTTTTATATTAGACAGGGAATATTTATTTTTTGAATTTGTTGATAGCTCTCAAATTTATAATGATGAACTTCTCAACGGGAGATTTGTAGATTGTATTTACTTACCCAAATAAGAGAGTGGCACTACTTCCTCTATGATTGGTACATCAATTTTTGGCATACAGTCATCGACAAAAGAGTAAATGTCACCTTCACATTCTCCATCTTCCTCTTTGGTCTCTAAAATCAAATTCAAAATGAATTCTTATTTATAATACGCAGCAAATTAAGCCTGAAATGGTTCGTAATTCTTAAAAATTGATAATCAACTGAAACATATAACAAGAATTGCCTCTGAAATATTTATTTATAAGGGTGAAGATATTCCACTGCTTCTAACTAAGAAGTTGTAAATGTCAAAGTATCTACTAATATTGAAATGATGACATATACTAGTAGAATAACACTATCAGGAATTGAACATTTCTCTTAACAACAACTATCAATTTGAATGATCGTTTGAAGAATCTATAGTTTATAAAAACCTTTTTTGGTTTCCATTTTGTCCATCGGTACGTATTCATCATTGATTTGCACCTTCGCTATCTCTTGGAGTTGCTTTTTTGATCTGTTTATAAGAGATTCTGCCAGTCGCTTGTCTTTCACTGATAAGTTGTCCAATTTTTCGCTTGATAAAAATTCGCAAATATCTAGAAGTAGAATTAAGTACTTACATAAAATATAATTTCACTTATGATCCTTGCTAGAAGAAAGGAAAAACGGAAAAACATGGCTTTATTGGCGGCGTTGAAGTGAAACACAAAACAGACAATAAAAATTTCGTTTTTATCGGTTTTATCTACTACCCAGTGTAATCGATTAAATTGATTTTCAAACTTGTCTTGGTTAGATACTGATTTGTTTTCATTGTCATTGATGTCATCATCATGGAAGTTAATTTCAGATACAAACTGAAAAAAAAAGCCCTCTTGAAACAACAACTGCTGTGAGGTAATAAGACAAGTGTCTTATTTCGAAATTTCGAAGTCCACCAATGAGAATGACAGGGTTCCATGTAAGTGAAATTTTATATCGTCTTTCATACACTATATTGTGTAGTAATCTGCAGGTGTGACGTTTTTTTAGTTTTAATAGACGGTATCAATTAAGGAAATGGCTCCCAGCTGCAGAATAAGTTTCAATTAAATTTTCCGTCCGATCCTTTGTTTTATTTGTTTATGAATTATCTTCATTATCAGTATGAGTGAACGATACATGTTTATGGTTACAAACCACAGTAAACACCACAACTACACATGTAAGAGTGAACATATGAGTTGAACGGGCCAAAAACGACAGATATAATTTGTTTTTTAATTGAAAAAAGGCCAGAATTGGTCAACCAGTAATACTGGACCTGTGAAAAATTACGTGTGAATCACACTCTCTTACAAACCCACATGCTCAATGAACGCCCTATAGCAAGTGTGATTTCTGCATAGTCTCAGTTCTTTAAATGACCAAATTCAACATGAAATGTAATATTTCAACCTAACCTAACATAACCTAACCGAATCTAACCTAACCCAAAATATAAAGGAACGTTCGTCGATAAACAGGCTGGTGCTCACACACAGACCATCAAAGGCAGTTGGTAGTGGTTTGAACATGACTTGGAAGAGAGTGGTTATAATGGTGATGATCTGGTTATGCATATATGCGAGTACCTCTGGCGTTGAGAAGTCTGCCACAATAAGTTGGATCCATTCTAATAGAGCTAATTAAATGTACTGAAAGTCAATTCAAACCAAAGCACAGATATTCAATCTGTGACCAAAGTGCATGTAAATGTTAATCAAAGACCCCCACCATTATGTTCCTCTCATCATCCCCTTTCAGTTGATATGCCACACCCGTTGTGGGCGTGGTCCCAATAACGAAAGTCCTGCCGATATGTTCATACTCAGGAACTACTGGTAAAAAAGATCCAAAATATCTGGTTTTGTTCATCAACATTTTAATAAACTGTACTATTACCTATAATACTAAATAAAATGTGAGAAAAAAATTACAAAGAAGCCATGTTTCATAAGCTAACCTAACTGAAACTAATTATAGGTACGACACTGGCCGGCAAAAGGCTTATCGTAATCCAATAGAAATTCAGTTGGGAGAGTCTATACCTGCGCGATCGCTCGCCATCGCGTTTGGTGCGTTCTCTTTTGTTTTGCACCATTACATTTTAAATTGAATGTTTCGTACTTTCTGAGCAAAATTTTTGATCATAGTTTGTTGGATCTCACGGCCGGTGTCAAACAAATTGGCAGGTTGCCAATAAAATCTTATGAAAATAGTGATATCCTGCAGGGTTAATCTATATTTAAAAAATCAGAATATTTGAACGCAACCAGCCCCATATTTATCAATTCTTACAATTTTTATTGAATTCACTCACATGATATATTTTTTTGTCTGTGCCGAATAATTCAAAGTAATTTTTGTCCCCTTCCGATTCTTTCGCTTGAAAGTTGTGCAAATTGAATGTGCACATAGGCTTCAAATCTCGTTCACCCCAGTATATTAGTAACCATTCTTTTCGTATAGTAGCGTATATTCGTTTCATTACTTCGAATCCCAATAGAAACTTTCTTCTCATCGAGATATACCCATATTTCAATCCTTGGGGCGCATCTTTCGCAGGAAAATCTGTAATAGAGTTTTCTCATTAAATTAAATGTAAGACAGATATATATATATAGTTTTCAATGAAAATGGTAGTCAAGTGACTCTTATTGAAAAGAGCTTTCGATTGCCCCTCTCATTGATTTTTCTCTGCATTGGAGCTTTGAAATTTCAACAATAAGTTTTTGGAAAAATACACAATTCAAATCGAAAACCGTTTGACGATAGCAGGTGAGCGGATACCATTTACTTGATTATTATGGTGAGCTTTTGAGTAATATCTATTTAATTTTTGCATTTTTCGGAAGACATATTGTTTTGTAGGTATTTCAAATCTTGATAACGAGTGAACCGATTTCTAGAAGCGAGTTAGCAATATTTCAGGTAGAAAATCAAAAACCCTTCTCAAAGAGATATC